GGGGGGACTGTGACTTTTTTGGACTATTTCTCAAAATTATGGAGGAAGGTAGAAAATCGTATTTATCAAGAGCGTCTTCATTTTTATCTGAGTTTCTTTGTTTAAACAATGCTAGTAATATTTGGGCTTTGATGGCGCGGGCGTCAGAGCAAGCGCCTTTCATGCAACTCTGAGATCCGGCGTGGGTTCGATTCTCGTTACGGCCTCATAGGAAAAGAGTCATGAGTCAACACTCTGCCGAATGTCGTGGGTTTTCTCCGGGTACTCCAGTTTCATCTCACAGGGCAAGTTGGCAGGGTGGGTTAGTCTGTATGAGGTGTGATATCCGCCAAAATTCATATATTCAATCATGCAATTGGAAATTGCATTTATGAAGTTCAGTTATGCTATTATGATATTCGATATTATGTTACTCGAATTCATTCGGCGTGAAACAGTCATTATTGAAATTTCATTCGGCGTGAAACAGTCATTCGGCATGGCACTCAGAAACCAAAATTCGACTTCCGGTTCGGCATGGCACTCAAAAACCAAAACTCGACTTCTGGTTTAGCGGGAAATTGTAATCCAACCATGACCAAAGTCGAAGGCAAGTTAAGTCAACAAGCTAGAAAGGAATATAAGTGTTGTAGACGTATTGGAAACAACTGTGTTGAGGAACTTAGACATCGGCGACAAGTATGCCCATACGGCGCAAAAAGATTTCTAAAATTCCCCAACACTCTTTCTGGATTTGATGTATTGACGGCAGTGCCGCACTGCCGCCAGATGATGTAGTAGCATGCGATTCGCTTTGAGAAATTACATTTGGACTCGCAACTTGTGCTGAAAAAACATTATTTGATGATCCAGGATAAATTCTCTGATCAATCTTGTCGCTTCTTGCAATAAAGAAACAGCACGCTGTTGACTTAAATTGCCTTCGCCTTCGGCCATGTTGAAATTACAATTCCCCGCGTGCTTTTCCCGCTAAACCGGAAGTCGAATTTTGGTTTCTGAGTGCCATGCCGAATGACTATTTCAATAATGACTGTTTCACGCCGAATGAAATTTCAATAATGACTGTTTCACGCCGAATGAAATTCGAATATCATAATATCGAATATCATAATAGCATAACTGAACTTCATAAATGCAATTTCCAATGGCATAATTGAATATATGAATTTTGGCGGATATCACACCTCATAAGTCTGAACTTAATCATGGACTTAAAGCTTCAGTAAAGAACTAATCATATTTAATTAATTCATTAATAATCAACCTAAAGATTGTATCATATTTCTTCATATAAATACTGTTTTTGATGTATAAGTCAGTATAACCATAACGTATAGCTATAGTTTATCCTGGTGATGACTGAAATATAGTCGAAACGTAGATAAACAGTATATGTTATCGATTCGCCGTTTGGAGTTTCACTTGTTTTGTATTTTTTTTATAGTTAGAAGAGTAATATCCCAACTGTTGTAAAGATGAATAGTCTATAGGCTAAGTAAATAACATATGAAATCGTCATGCCTGTATGTAATGCGAAACATGCACAACACATTCGACAGGAATTCAGAAATATGACAGTTTTTCGCCGCCGAATGAAATTTCGCCATAAATCATCACAATTTTCATAGATTTTATATACTAAAATGCCACGAAAAGAAAAAGCGTACGAGTACAAAGAACTATTGTGCGCGTAATGTACAATGCATGAAGAGAAAGACAAACTAAACTATAAGTGGCTGTTGCCGGCAGCACAGGAGTTAAACTGCGGATATAAACTCGACTGATAGCGCATGTATTTACTATACACAAAAAATAAACATTTTAATTATTGAATTTTCCGCGAGCGAATCGTGCAAATTAAAATTAATAACTGTGCAAGT